GGGGGGGAGGGAAAAGAAGGGGGATGACCATGGGGACACCATGACACAGAGGGTGTCATGGCAGGGCAGAGGGGACTCACTGCATCCCTGGCACCGTCTGCCCCTACCCGGTAATCACGGATGACACCATTCTGCTCAGCTGGCGGTGGTGGCTGCCACGAGATGTGGACACTGGTGCCGTTACTGGCCACTCTGACGGCTTGTGGAGGGGCACTGGGTGCTGCCGGGGAGGGGGACAAGGAGGGTGTCATCTCCAGAGGATCCCTGGGAACCGCCCACCATCCACCACCTCCCCTCACTCACCCGCCTCAGGGGTGCGCAGGGCACGCACGGCACTGTCAGGGCCGTGGAGGTGATGGAAGTAGGGTCGGACCTTGACCTCATAGTCCTGGCCCCGGCGCAGCTCGGTGAGCAAGGCCCCTCGCTCCCCTGGCGCCTGCACTGCCCGTGCCTCCTCCCAGCGCCCGCCGCGCTGCCGGTACAGCACCCGGTAGCCCTGAACGAAGGGTGCTTGGTGCTCCACCTGGGGACCAAAGGGGAGGGTCGGATGGTGGGGGGACGGTCAGCACTGGGACCCCTGTACTGGCAGTGTGGCACAGCACTCACAGTCCAGGAGAGACGGACAGCGCCCGGCGGCAGCACCACGGGTTCCTGTAAGTGCACAGCCACTTGTGCCAGCTCCCGCTGCACCTGCTCTGGGTCCAGCCCTGGCTGCGTCGGGGTGGCTTCTGCCAAAAACATGAGAGGGCAGATGGTCGGTGGAAAGCCCCAGTGGTGTCACCAAGTGGGGATGTCATGGTGACACCATATTCTTATGGTGGGTCAATGGGAACCTCCACTGGCATCATTAGGTGGGGATTTACCCAAAAGTGGTGGGTACATGGGCACCTCCATCAGCATCTCCACGTGGAGATGGATCCATGGGTGGTGAGCACACGGGCACCTCCATTGGCCTCTCCAAGTGGAGATGGACCCAAGGGTGGAGGGTTCATGGGCATCCCCACTGGCATCACCAAAGCTGCACCCATGGGTGGTGGGTTCATGGGCACCTCTGCCAGTGTCACTACGGGATCTCACCTTGGGTGCGCACGGGCTCCGAGATGCCGCTGGGGTCGCTGAGGCCATAGGCGTTGACTGCCCGCACCAAGAAGAGGTAGACGGTGTCGGGGACAAGGCCGCTCACCGTGTGGGTCTCCCCCTCCACATCGGCTGCCACCGTCTGCCATGGGCCACCTGCCACCTGGCTGCCAGGGGAAAAACTGTGACACGTGGTGGGGTGGCACCAGGCCACTGCGTCACCCCCGCACCCGGAGAGGGACACCCGTGTGATACCTGAAGGCCTCCACGATGTAGGAGGTGACATGGGTGGCACCGCTGTCCTCGTTCCTTTTCCAGCTCAGGGTGACGCTGCTTTGGGTGACGTTGGTGACCACGGGGGTGGAGGGTGGCCCCGGGAGGACACCAGGCTCGGGGGAAGGCGGGGAAAGGTCGGATCCGTCACCTGTGGGGAGATTCATGGAGATGTGGGGTGGCCTTGACCCTGACGCCACGGTGTCCCCAGTGTGGTGACCTCCGCTGGGACCCACCTTGCACCTCCAGGGAGCCACCCCAGTGGGTCCTGCCTGCCGGGCTGGTGGCCACGCACTCATAGTGGCCAGAGTCCGTCACCTGCGGGGGGAAGAGCTCCTGCCCCATCACCCTGAGCACCCGTCACCTGGGCACCCGCACCCTGAGCACTCATTGCCCTTGCACCCACCATCCTGAGCACCCACCACCCTGAGCACCCACCAGCCCCTGCACACACCGCCCTGAGCACCCATTGCCTTTGCACCCACCCTGAGCACCCATTGCCCTTACCATCTACCACCTTGAGCACCCCCCACCTCTTGCACTCACCACGGCTGAGCACCCCACACCCCTTCAGCCCCTCCCATCCCCACGGGGGTGCCCAGGAGGGTGGATGCCCTGAGCCCCCGCTCCGGGCCGGCTCACCCGGAGGCTGGTGATCTGCAGGGTGCCGTTCTCCAGCAGGCTGGCGCGGGGCTGGGCACCCACCAAGGTGCTCCCATCCTTCAACCACCCCACGCTGGTGGGGGGGTCACCACCCCCCACCCAGCATGGTAACTGTGCCGTGGCCCCCACCGGCAGCACCGTCCGGTTAGCGGGACCCCGGCGGATCACCGGCGGTTGGTGTTCAGCCGGCACTACCGTCGAGAAAGGAGGAAAAAAAATTTAAAAATGGCAATTTCTTGGGGATGAGGATGGGCGCCAATTGTACACTGAATGCACCTGTTCTGTGCCGGCACAGGACTTACCCCCTTCCACCTCCAGCTGCGCCTTGGCCAGGACGCTGCCGGCCACGCTGATGGCCTGGCACTGGTAATAACCGGCGTCGGCGGGCCGCACGTCGGCGATGGTGATGGCGCCGGTGAGGCTCACCGAAAAACGGCTGGAGGGGTGCGGGGGCTGGCCGGGGAACAGCAGGGTCTGGGGGGGACACAGCAGGGTGGGTGCTGAGGGAGGAGGCAAGATGGGCACGGGGGACACGAATGGGGACAGGGCTGGGGACAGACCTGGCTCCCCTCCTTCTGCCAGAAGACAGCGGGCGGCGGGTTGCCCTTGCTCTGGCACTGGAAGGTGACGCTCTGGCCGGGGGTGACGGTTTGGTTGCGGGGCCCAGTGACGAGCTGGGGGGGCACTGGGGAGAGAAAAGGCCTTGCCCGGCCACTTTGCCAGCACCCACAGGTGCTCCCTCAGGGGGATCCCCCCCCACCCTGCCTCCCCCTTACCGTGCACCGTGAGGGTACCCGACGCCTCCGACCTGCCCACGCTGTTGTCGGCGACACAGGTGTAGGTGCCCTCGTCCTCCACCCGCAGCCGGTTGATCCGCAGGGTATTGTCGGGCAGCACCTCCCACCTTGGGGTGCAGGGGTGGGGTGGGGTGGGGTGGGGGGTACCCCGGGAGGCCAC